GGGAGTTATGATCTGGGGAATGTCTTGGTTTTACGGGTAATGATTTTACTCTGTAAAATGCTCAGAGACTTTTTTAAAAAAAATTTGCTTCACATACAAGGCACACAAAGTTAAAACTGAGACTCTGTCTCCACCCCATTGTACATTGGCTTCTTCCTTAGATATTTTTGTTAATATAATGTAAATATTTATCACATTATTGTTTTAATGTTTTACATTGTGGTTTTTATCTTGAGTCGCTTGATAGCAAAATGGGCAACATATGAATTGAACTGAATGAATGAATGAATGAAAACACACAAAAATACCAAAAAAAACCCCAAAACACACAACAAAAACGATTACAACACATGAAAAACATTACAACACAAGAAAAACCATTGCAACACATTAAAACAGCAAAAACTATTAAAAACATAATCTGCCAGAATATAATGCAAATTTACCAACAATATAGTCTTTCACAGGCTCTACACTACCACTATCATTAGGCAAGATGGCAAAGTCAAGTCTTCAGGCTCTTCCTAAAGGCCAGAAAGTAAAGACCAATCTAAGTCCCGGAGGAATAATGTTCTAAATATGAAGGAAGAGTATAACTTTAAAAAAAATAAACAAATTAATAATAAATCTTCACATCGTAAAATGTACAAAGAGGTGCGAGGATCTATAGCCCACCTGGAAGGCCATGTTTAGATACTCACAATCATATTTCTTATTTGTGCTTTCATGAGATCAAAATTCCACTTAACATACTCAAGTTAGAAACTGCCTTTGATTTTTTGCGTTCTGAATTTTAGTATTACTAGTTGTACCTAACTTGTTTGTTTCAGTAAGCTTTCCTGCTACTGAAACATTATCACAAATTAGTAATTCAAACCCAGCATGAATGTAACAAACTGGAAAAAAATATTATGTATAAACAGCAGACGGTCCAGGATTTGTACAAGATAAGACCCTTTCTCAGCAGAAGAGTGATTGCAAGTAATGAATTGTTACTTTGTATTAAGAGTTCTCAAAGTTATTTTTTATATTTTAATATGTATGATTTACTTAATATTGCCTTATTTTATTTAATATACAATTGCTTTAAAATAAATGTTCATTTGAAAGTATAGAGCTTAATATTATTCTACAGTATTATATTGTCCTGGACTTTTAATTTAGAGTATCCTTATTTTATATTATATTATCAATTGTAGTATAGTGTTTTATTTATTTAGCAAATTTATCTAGCTGCCCTTCTCATAAGCAGGTCTCTGGACAGTGTATAAGAAAAAGAACATTAAAACAAATCTAAAACAATAGTTAACAATTAATTAATAATCCATTAAACACAAATGCAGTAGTCCTTATTTAGCCATCACATTTGGGACTGATAACTATCATTGAGTGAAGCAGCCACTAAGTGAAACTGCTTATTGATCTTATTTCAGCTTTCCTTTGCTTTAGAGACCTGCAAAGGTCATAAATGGGAGGACAGGTTGATGACAGTACTTTGTTATCAATGTTGTAACTTGAAACAGTTGCTAAATGAGGCAGTCACTAAACCAAGAGAATTCTAAATTAGACAACTCTAAATCAGGATTACTGTATAAATAAGACTGTAGGTAAAAGGACTAACATCTTACAAATGTACGTATCTTGCATCAACTCATGGACTCTATTTCCATGAAATCCCCAACATGTTATTGTATCAATTGCTGTTTTATTCTATAGTTGGTACTAAGATATTAGCACAATAAAGAAAACAATTACTATTCCACTATTATCCTTCCCTGTCTCACAGCCTCCAGAGAGGAACAAAGAAAATGCCCAGTTGAGCACCACCAATCCACAAGCTCCTTAGATTGACCCTTTTAGGGAACTGGAATTCATTTAACTTCAAGAGTTCTACAACATCAAAAGAACTGAGTGGTGGTGAACATCAGGATGCAGATGGCAAGAAGACAGCTGAATGGTAGTGAACTTATTGAATGTGGCAAGTGGGCAAAGACCAAGTCACCAGTGGTGAATACAAGAAGGCTGAAGACCCTTGCCGTGGATCCTCATGGATTATCGGTGGTTTGTGGATTATCAGAGTTTAACCATTGGTTTAGGCATTGCTATATTGTAATTAAAACACAACTTCTATGCTGAAGGGAAATATTGGTTCCCATGTATTAAAAAAAGCTGTAATAAAAGTCTCTGCCTTCCTCCTCCACCAGGATGTTCTTCTCAATTCCAGGAGAGAGTAACCATAAACTATAGCGGTTAGATTTTCAACACTATACATATTGGTAAATTTTGTAAATAGTAAAGCAACAGCATTAACCTTTAGCTACGAGCACATTCTGTAATTCTGAACACAATAAGCATACATTATGCAAGAACAAGGATTGCTAGCAAGTTGGCAGGAAGCTATTTACAAAGCCATTGCTATGATTCATAATTTGAATTTTAAATACAAATTAAAATGTTTGGACTATACTTAGGGAGTACAGAACTTACATGGAAACAAAATCAGTTAAAATGTAAATTAGATCGTCATCATATTAATTAAAGAAACAGATTTCAGTGGGACTTAATGAATATTCAAGATGTTTTGGTTTGTGTTTCCTAGCTATTTTCAGAGTCATTGGAAAACACTTCAAAACCAAGACCAAAAAGACTATCAATAGCAGAATTAATTACCTTCCCAAAAAACCCAATGGTAGATCAGGTTACAGAGTTCTGAATAGAAGTGATTGTGGATTTTCCCATATATCTTGTTTTTTCTATGTTAAACTTAAAAGAAAACAGGAGATATCTTTTACGACCCTTATCTGTGATTTTTTTTTTAAAAAAAATCAAAATTATCAAACAAAAAGAAATAGAATTTGTAGTTCTGATATATAAGCGTGCCAGGATTGCACAGGACTTCAGATTCTCTTGCAATAAGAATAGTTCAGAGCACATGGAGCATGAACATATCATCCATTTGTAACTTTTTAAAGCAGACATGTCTTTTGCCTGGCTCATATGACAGTGCCGAAAACATCTCTAGGATTTCATGTTTTAATTATACTGAGTTATCAGTGGCCAGGCTTATAGGAGCTTCTGACAATCAGCTGTAATCAGAAATATACAAAGGTCCAACAGCCTGCCTTCTTACACATCAAAAGACTTTTTCCCTTGTGCGTGGGAATATTACATGCACTTTTATGTAAAACTATTGTGAGGGTGGAGAGAAGACAATAAATGAGGGGAAATTCATTTCAGGATAAAATGAACAAGCTTATCTGTGAAATGCCTTAGCACAGCTTTTATGTTAGGTCCAATTTATAACTTCAAGCCAGAATGAACTTGGAAGGAAGCAGTGATCGCCTCACAAGCGCTAACTGGAGAGCTGTATATAAAAGCACGCAAGCACGCAATGGGCAAATGAGAAGAAACTTCAGGCACTCAAAGCTCTTGCAGTTTAATCCTCCACCTGCCCATTTGTAACTGCTCACTGCCAGCTTCACAGCTGTTTGAAGTCAGGATGAACAATAGGCGACCTTGGGTTCAAATCAGAGAACTGAACAAGGATTGCCTGCATCCAGAAACACGTTAAAGCCGTGCCTGTCTTCACTATTGAGTTAGTTGTTTTCTCTCACCCAAGAGTCAACAAAAGCTATAGGGCATGAACACTGCTGTTCCTACCGCCGACCCCCATCCTGCCTCTGCCTGATCTCTGCCCATCACCTGATCTCTCACCAAGTCACCTTGACGAACTCCAGCAGTTGCATGTAACTTGAGATGGTCAAAATAAATAGTAATGAAACACCTGTACGGTTTAGGAAGATTTAAGCCTTTCTCAGAAAAAAATGAGATTCCCAAATGGCACCAAGGTTAAGGGCAAGTGAGGAAGGGTTCCCAGAATCGAAGAAAAGAACCCATCAGTTTCCCATCCATGCTGGGATGATGGGAACAGACAGAGTCAGGCTCTGAATTCCTCAAAGATCCATAACGATAGAAAGTTACGTTCCCTGAAAAAGTTCTCCGAGGATGAGCTCCAGAACCAGCCCAAAAGCTCAGAAGACAAAACCTTTGGTCCCAGTGACCGACCCAGATTGGATCCTGCGACGTTATCCTGGGACACGGTATTACCCGCCTTCATTCGTGATCCATAACTTTATCCTAAACTTTTTTTTTTTTAAAGTTTTTTTATTTATAATACAATGAAAACAAAAATGGACCTACGTGGCATTCCAGAGTAAATATTCCTAACAGTTTGTTTCTCGTGATACAAAAAATTAAATACATCCTCCTTAACCTCTATATACACCTCCTTCTTCTACACAATACAGTTATATATACAATTATATGTACCATTAAATTTATTTTATTTATTTATTTTTTAGATTTATATCCCGCCCTTCTCCTTGCGGACTCAGGGCGGCTAACAACCGGGTAAAAATACAAAAATACAAAAAAACATACATTTGTTTCAATGGGATTGAAACAAATGTATGTTTCAATCCCATCGTTAGCTTAAGATCCGAGCGGTTCTCCTTGATTCATACCAGCGATAAAAATGTGTCCCAGGTTTCGAAATATTCCAGTTCTGTCTTATCTTTCATAGCCATCGCAAGCCTTTATCCTAAACTTAAGGGACTAATCCACCTCTTTCTCTTTCTTGCCTCTGCTCTCCCTTCCCACCTTTGGTTGAGGCTGGAGCCAAAAAAAAAAGCAAGCAGCGCTAAAGAGGCGCTCCTTCCTCTTAAACCCGATAAGGCTTTGCGGTGTGTCTTCGGTACTACAAGGCAAGGGCAACCTTCAGCCAACGGGCTCGGAGTCCCGCTTTCAAACGCCGCAACAGCGCCTTTCCGAGCTGACGGGTGGGCTCCGAGGAGGGCCCGTCCGCTCCAACCTGGGCTCTTACGAGAAGCTGCCATTCTCTCCCCCCCCCCCTCCCGCCACCCGCTCGGCAGCTCCTTCACTCTCGGGCGCGGCTGGCGAAGGCTCGAGCGCGCGGCGGCGGCGGCGGCGGCGCCACTCACCTGAAGCAGGTGCTGAGCTCCCCGCCGGGCTTCAAACACGGGTATTTGGTGGTGGCGACTTTGCTCTCGGAGCACACTTCCCTGCGAGGCGGACAGAAGGAGAGAGAGACAAGGCGGCTCAGTGGCCAAAAGGAGCGTCGGAAGCGGCGCAGCGCGGGTTGGGAAAAAACCAGACGCGGGGCAAATGCGAAGGGGGGGGGGGAAAACAACAACAACAACAACAACAAAAAAGCGCGGGCGCGGCTGGGCCCCTCCCTGCCACCCACCTGTCGCTCTCCTCAGCTTCCTCGCGGTAGGTCCACGCGTGCCCGAGCGCCGCCAGGAGCAGCAGCAGCAGCAGCCAGAGGCGCAGGCTCCGCGAGGGCGAGCGCAGCGCGAGCAGCAGAAGGCGCCTGGCACCTCCCCCGCCGTCGCCGCGCGGCACCATCGGGCGTCCCTCGGAGCTCGCGATCCGCGCCTCACGGGCTCTGGCCGCCGCCGCTGCCGCCGCCGCCGCCGGGCGCGCTGCAGGCGAGGGAGGAGGCGGAGAGGCCGCTGCCTCCCCCCCGCCCCCGCGGCGGGACGGCAGGAAAGCGGAGCGGGCAGGGCTGAGAAGGGGCCACCAGATGCCGCCCAGGGGCGAGCGGAGAGCGGGCTGGCCTGGCCGGGCGAGGGACGACGAGGAGGAGGAGGGAGGGAGAGAGGGAGAGAGGCGGACGGGCGGCGGGAAGAGACGGCGGCGGCGGCGGGCGGCTCGTCTGAAGCTCGCCGGGCAGGAGACGTGGAGGGCCGAGGACCGGGGTCAGCAGCTGGTGTCTGGGTGGGACGCGGGGAGAAAAGGAAGGCGCGCGCGCGCTGCCTTCTGAGAAAGGGGCCCTCCTGAGGCGCAGCGGTTGCCCCTCGACATGAAAGGGTTCCGCCCCAGATGTGGACCTGGGAAAGATCCCGGCTCTGGGTTCAAGGCAGGGCAGGCGGGCCAAGCCCAGCCGCTTCCCCCTGAGGTACTGGAGAAAAGGCGGACGGGTGTGTGTGTGTGTGTGTGTGTGTGTGTGTGTGTGGGCTTTTCTAAGTCTAGCGGCTGGAAGCCGTCGAGAGGAGAAGTGGGCCGAGCGAGCCGCCCTCGAAAAAGCCGCGAGCTGGGGGCGGTGGGGGGGGGGAGAAGCGGGGCGAGCCGGCTGGCAAGGGACCGTTTGTGCAACCTGCAGGTCAGGATAGGCGCTTTCCAGAGAGGCGGGGGAGGGGCTTTCGCGGGAGGGGTTAGGAAGGCCGGGCACGAGGAATCGGGACCCGGGAGGGGGAGAAAGAGCGAAAAGGCAGACCCGGCACCCGGAGCACGGGTGGCGGGGGGAGAGGGGGGGCTTTGAACCCGGAGGTTGCAGATCGGTAACTGAAGACCCGAATGGAAAGTTGCAGATGGGCAAACTGGGGGCCCAGGAAAGGTGGCGGTGGAGCACCGGGAAAGGTTATTGGAGACCAGGAGTTGGTAGGGTTGCCAGGTGTCCACTATTTGAGCGGACAGTCCACTTTTTTCACATTATGTTCATTATTTTTTTTTCACAAAATAGTGGACATTTTTTTTTATTCAAAAGCTTTATGATGAAATGGTACGTAATCTAAAGCTGTACAGTCTACTTTTTTTACTACTTAACACCCCCCCCCCCCGCTTGTCCGCTATTTTTTGGAAGCAGACCTGGCAACCCTAGGAGTTGGAAAACGTTCAGATGGTGACAAGGCAGTTGTTACCTTTCTAACCACGAGATTAGACTTTCTCTTGAGTTATTCGGATATAACAGGTCATCCTCAACTTCCCACCCACAATGGAGCCCAAGATTTCTGTTGCCAAGTAAGAAAAATGTCTTAAGTGGGTTTTGCCCCATTTTTACGAATTTTCTGGCCGCGTTTGTTAAGGGAATTGTTGCAGTTGTTAAATTAGTGACACTTAAATTAGTAACACGGTTGTTAAGAGAATCTGGTTTCCCCGTTGACTTTGCTTGTCGGAAGGTCGCAAAATGGGATTGCATCATCCCAGCACACCGCAACCGTCATAAATGTGAGTCAGTTGTCAAGTATCTGAATGCAAATCA